TAAGAAGCGAAAATGTATGATAGACGAATTCAATGCTAAAGTGGATTCGAAATGATGTGACTACCGACCATTGGGCGTCTTCGACGAATTTCTCCTTAGTAATCCTTTGCTTATTCCTTTTGTTTCTTCTTAATTATTTATCTTAATTGTAAATTATGATTTACGAATAAAAGTTTTGCAAGTATTGTAAATGTTTTGTGATACATGTATTAAATGACGTCGTAACTTATAAATTGAATGCTTTCGTTGAAATTCATGAATATTATTAAATTCAATGAAAAATGACCAACTGAACCACCACCGATTTATAAGAAGCTTTTGACTCTTAAAAACCGAAATGTTACTTTATTACATTAACAGCTATATTTCATAAGATATTATAATTTAGGGGCACAGTATTACTTAAAATGATAAATCGGCTTGTAATAATCAACAGATTCCATTTAACTGGTAGTGTGTAAGCGCGAAAGAGGTTTCCCTATTGTATGTCTAAGTTACCATTTTTCAATTGAGTCGTAAAAAATAACATTCTCTTGACAAAGAGTGATGGACTAGTCCAATCCAAGTATGGAAATTAAGTCCTTTTGATATGCGGCTTTTGCTACATATTCAGGATAACAGAATGAGGAAAGCATGATCCTTGTATGTGATTATGGAATCCATGGACTTACATATAAGCATTACAATAAGAATAGCAAAATGACAGGTGGTTATTGTCATCATCTCTTTCCTACTTGTCATCATCCATACGATGGCTTGAAATGCTCAAAGATGTTTATTTTGTTGTTTCTCGTTGAACATTGGCAAAAATGAAGCAAAAGATCTTATAATTTGATTCAGACATTAGCTCCTCGACATGCAGATACGTTGACAACATATTTTACCTAAAAATCGAAACAAAATCACATTTAAACAGCAAATTATTTTTTAGACTTACTAAAATAACACTTGCCTTTAAAAAAGGGATTATAATAAAAAGGTTGTTCAAAGATTATCAATAACCATTTAACCCATCCTTTTTACGTCATATTGTAAATAATTTTAATGAAAATTTTTTATTTTTGATAAAAATTTAAGAAATCATAGTTAATAAAGTATGCATGAAAATTCGATCGAAAGGAAAAGGTAAAGCGATGGTTGATATTCTTAATTTCTAATCACGATACGCGTTCCTTATATCCATTCGGCTGGCGTACTATAAAAATCTTGTTTATGTGGTAGAACTGATCTGCACAACGTGTAGCTTTTCACTCAACTTCTCAATACAAAAATTAACCTTCACAATATGCAGTATATGCAGTAAATAACATTAGTTCATTTAGTAGTGTTTCTTGCTTTGATAATATTAATAAAACTATAAAAATGTATAACTTAATATATTAATTAATATAATTAAAGATAAACTAAAACTTCATCGATGAATATTTAACTTTAAGATATAAGTTATAATTTAAAAAATGATTTATTAAATAGGTAATATTCTAATAATAAATTATAAAGATATTTAGAAGAAGAAGTATTCATAATAATGAAAATATTTAATTAATAGCATTACATTTACAACAACATAAATTTGATATAACTGTTTATAGATTTTATAATTATATATAGATTTAATTATAAAAATGTAATATAAAAGTTTGTAAATAATTATAATTTAAGAGATTACAACTTAGGATAAAACCAGTTGCAATACTATTATAAATAAGGATGCTTGCCTAAACCTCTTCAAAATTCTACAATTAGTTTTGACAAAATTTTAATAAGAGTTTAATATACTTTTGGCAAAATTTCAGCATTTTGGCAGTTTCATCAAAAAAAAAACGCTTTAGTTTCTCTAGCAACCTTAATTATAAAATCAAATATTTATTGCATTATATTTACATTTTACTATAATTTACTAAAAATCTTTATTATTTCAAAATAGCAAAAGATTATATAATTTTATACAATATGATTTATATCTATTTGCTTAAAAATTTAATTAATGTACTAGAGAACAGTTTTAAAAACTGTTATTAAGTCTGAAATACAAGTGTAATAAAGGTAACTAATCACATACCAACTCAATTTTAAAGCAAATGAATATATTACTATGCATAAATTATAATAGTTCTTTATTAAACTTTGTTTAATTAGTTTATTAAAAGATTATATGATATAAGATCATTATTACATTTTTATTATTATACAATTTGTATTAATTTTCAGTGCAAAAATGTAGATACAAAAAATTATTATATGAATTTACTTTAATAGTTGGTTTTTTTTCAGTAAATTTATATTTCAGATTTAACAATAGTTTCTGATTCCTAATATTTTATAATAAATAATATAGTAATTTGATTATTAAAAAAAATAGTATTTATTTTTATTCAATATTTACAACAAAAATGTATATATTAATAATTATGAAAAAATGATATGATATAGGTACTTTGCAATAGAAAGAAGGAAATTTTAAAAAAATATATTTTGAGTTAATGTTAAATTTGAACTTATTTTACTAAAGTAAAATTTTAATTTTTTGTGATTAATTTTTTCTATTATAAATCTTCTATATTATTATTTATTCAAAAAAATTTTTAAAAAGTATATTCAAATAATAAATTTCATTTTTGTTTTAATTTATTTAAAAATAGAATTTTTATATATAATTTTATAATTATTAAAAATTATTATTAAACTTATTGGTAATAAATTTAAAATTAAAATTAAAAAGTAAACAAAAATTACATATATTGTTATTTATAATGAAATAAACTTTTAAATAATAGATAATAATCAGATTTGAAAATTTAAAAATGAATAAATTTATGATAAATAAGATAAAAAGAATTACTCATATTAGTTATTTTTTTAAATAAATGAAAATAGTTTGATTATACAATTATAAATAAATAAGTTTAGTTCTAATTAAAGATGGACACCATAATTAAGAAGTTGTAACTCGGTAAGTTGCAATTCCTTATAAATTTATTTTAATATAAAAATTCATAAATAGTTGCAACTAGTTAAAAATTTTAAAAATAATTATGGAAATCATCTTTACTCATGTATATTTAAGCATAATCAATATTGATTGATAGATCAATCAATCAGATTTATATGTATATTAGTATATATGCTAGTGTTCTGCAAAAAATCTGATTCAGATTTGAATTTTGATTTGATTCAATCTGATGGATTCAGATTTGGATTCAGATCCAATTTATTGAATTTGAAATAAAAAATGTTACTTCAAAAGTCAGATGAAGCATTTATTAATAAAAAATTATTTTTTATTAATTTTTAATAATAAAATGCTATCACAAAAGTCTTTATTATTAAAAATTAATTTTTGATCATTTTTTATATTAAAATACCACCCCAAAAGTCAGACATAGCATTTATTATTAAAAAAATTGATTTTTAATAATTTTTTATATTAAAATGCTGCTCTATTAGTAAATTTAATAGGATGTAATATTGCATAAACTTATATTTTATAATATTACGAAACTTACGAGACCATTATATTAAGAGAATTTGATAAAAAAAATTGTTAAGTAAATTAGGATTTTTTACATACTTATTATAGTTTATTTAAAAATAATTTTTATTATTATAGGAAAAATTACTTGAAATATATCCTATAGCTCAAAAATATCTTAACTGCAGTTTAATTAATTGTTATCAAATATGAAAGAAATAATATCAAATTAAATATTTTATTTTAGTTAATATTATGCTTTTCATCTATAAAATATAAGATAAGAAGAATTAGAAAATAATATTAATGTATGATTTTAGTAGAATATTATAATTAGATAAAGTATTTAAGTAGTAACACTTTTTTTTTATGTAAAATTAACTTTGAATTTCTGGTTTTGAAAACTTATAATTGATACAGTGCGTACAACTTGCTTCCAACAAATACATTTTTAAGCAGCCAAATTCGAAATGTCGATCTGTTATCACGTGATTTGCTAAACTTGTAATATTATTAGTCTGTACTCATTCATGTGACAACATATTACTTTAGAAGTACGAAAAGTTTAAATACTGTAGTTTATCATAAAAGTTTAATATATGTATAAATAACACAAGACAAAATAAATTTCTATTGTGATACATTCCTATTGTGATATATTTATTTTATACAGTAATACATTTCTCTTGTGATTCTTTTCCACTTATTGCATTATTAGCCGATTGATATCACAATGGAAAAATAGTCTGATTGTGATTAACTAATAATTTACATAAAAATTTTCTTGCTTTGCATTTTGTAATTAAAAAAATTTTTCTTGACTGTACATAATAAAAAGAATCATCATTAAACAATAAAACTTAATACTTACTTGTATCATATATAATGTTCTATTATTATTAGATTTAATTAAAAGGAACTCGAATTTGCCAACATGTCGCGTCTGATAAGATGTCAAAAACAATCAAGAAAGGCTAACAAAATCGGTAATGATGATATATCTGCCTATGATGATTCTGTCCATGATGATTCTAAAGGATATGATGATGATCTGAAAGATTGCTTTAAAATTGACAATGGTTCTTCCCATTGTAACTATGTTAATGACGAACCAGTGGAAAATGATAATGCTGCAAGCATTATAGAAAAACTTCATAAAACAACAAAAATGTATTATCAGGAACATGCTTTTTGAGAAGTATGTAGGTTACGTTATATAGGAAACTCGAGTCACATTAAAAAAGAAGGAATTAACAGCAGCGTGAAGCAGCAAATGGGATTCCTATGTTACATACCTTTGGGATACCAAGAAACCTTATGAAGAAATCGATGAGAAGCCTTTTGAAAAAATCGATGAGGAGCTGGCTAATGAGACTAATGTAGAAGAATCGGATAATGATGAGATTGAAGATTACGATTGGCATAATAAAATTCAGATTGCTCTTGAAAACTTAATATTAGATTTCAAAAAAGAAAAGGTTAATAGTGAGGTTTGAATACGTCTAAATAATATTCAACTTTACCTTCAACAAATAAAATCCAACTATTTAAAAATAGACGCAAGTGAAATTGTTGCAGATGCAGCAGGAAAAGGAATATATCACATCAGATGCATTCGTTCTTGGGCAAATAATTATATAATGATCTATAAAATTCTTTACTCTCGTCGAGAACATCATGTCAAAGTATGGAACTTTCTTTAAGATAAAGATATTATTCTTCAAGTAAAAGCTTATATTCGGGAACATAAGTGGGATGTTACTCCACAAATACTCATGGTACAGATGAATGGGATTATTTTGTCAGGACTTGGATTTGCACCATCTCCAACTATTCATATCAATACCGCAAGAAACTATTTGAAAGAACTTGAATATACATATGCTAAGGTGAAAAAGGGGTATATATAGATGGACTTAAAAGGGAAGATGTGGTAGCCTATCGTAACATTTTTTTAGAACAAATAAATGAATTTGAGAATAGGATGCCAATTTTCTCTGGAGACAATTTGGAAGAAGTAATATAGCCTGATGATAATGTACAACCACTCATTCTTGTCACACATAATGAATGTATTTTCTCAGTTTATGATAGAAGTCGAAGTCTTTGGATTCCAAATGGAGAATAACTTTTACAAAAAAAGGTAATAGACGTTCGATTCACATTAGTGATTTTTTAACAGATGTTTGTGGTCGGCTTTCACTTCCCAATGAAATACAAATGTCAGATGGTCTTTCCAGAGAAGCTTGTATCATTATGTATCCAGGAAAAAATAATGATGGATGGTGGAAGGCTAAGGATTTAATAAATCAGATAGTTAAACATGCTATACCTATATTTT